CGGTCTTGAGGCTAAGGCTTCGTTAACCGCGGATACTCATCGGGTGCCGACGCACTGTCCAGGTCCGACGCTTCGTCCAGGTCCGGCGTCTACTCCGCCGCCAGCTTCAGCGGGTGTCCGCCGACCGCGGTACAGCGGAGCCGAGGAATCAACGCGTCACGGGTGCAGGCCTCCCAGTTTGGTCTCGACATCATCGTCTTCGCCTTCGTCTCGGCTGCTGCTGTCGATCGAACGCGCCAGGTCACAGCGCAGTTCCAGTCCGAGGCCTCGGACAGCGCCGCCCTCAGACCAAGTGGCGACGTCCCTCGTCGCGTTCACTGACATGGACCCCATTGAGGGGCCCTAGTGCCACACGTTGTCGTTGCTCGTAGTCGCTGTAGCCGTAACTCCAACACGTAGGCCTTGCTCTTTTCCTTCGTTTCTTTCCACTTCTTCACATCTTTTATGAGACGGCCCTCCGCCATCTCATCTTCAGCAACAGGCTGGTCCTCCACACTTTCCTCATCCAACCCCTCGCTCCGGCCATTCCCAGAGTCGAGGCTCTCCGCCTATCCACCTGTCGGCAGCCACCCTGCCAACTTCCACCGCGCCACTAAAGGCGCTCACCCACCAGGGCTCGGCTCAGCCGCCCCACGTCCTCGCGCGAAATCGCCGCAAGACGGTAACGACCAGCGTGCTGTCGCGAGAAGTCGCACCGCCACTTTCCGCAGTTGAGATCCAGTTCGTCGGTACAGCCTCTCCAGGTCACGTCGGACTCGCGGCGCGCGCAGCCAGGTCGGGAAGCCCGACCGGCATGCAACTCCAAGGACTTCTCCCCTTCGAAAGCATCCTCGTCCAGAGCGAGTGTCAGGCTGTGCTCCAGTAAACACGTATCGGTGGAGTCAAACGGTCCGTTCGTTGACACCGCCAAACACGTCGCGGCGTGTGACGGAAACTCTTCAACGGGGTTTTGCTTGGAGGTGCGGAAGTCGAAAGACAGTTGGTAAACCGAGTTACTCGTCTCGCGACGCGATTCGTTTGGCCTGCCTTGCGCTTTGGTGCACAACCTGACGCGCCGCATCTGCGCACGCGGTCCGATCTGTAGCGTCCGTCGCTTGGGCTCGGCGCACTGGTGCGGTAGTTTTCCGACGGCGATTATCGCCCTTGACGAACACCGCGGATCTCGGTCGCGCGCGAACCGAAAGGAGGGCGCCAAGTCTACAACGACGCGAACCGTCTCGGCGTGCTTGTCCCTGACCTTCGAGTACGCAACGCCGTCGCTCATTTCAGTGCTAGTGTCCCGGCTCACTTCTAGCGGCATCTCGCCGCGGCAGTCGGCGGGCTCGTTCGACGGGGTCGTCCCATTGATCATAGCGCGCACAGGCCTCAACTTGGAAACGTCCTTGACCGAAAACTGACAAGGCGTGCATCCCGTCTCAAGACGTACAGCGTACGTGCTCACACACGAGGCGTCTCGCGGCACAGCGTCGAGCATGAGCTCTAGCCCGTAGGCAGATCCCATTCTGCCGCGATCCCAGCAATATTACATCAACGAATTCACTCCAGCCCTGTTCATCGCCGCCACGTCGCCCCGGGTCCGATCTGCGTCGTCCCCGGCTTGGCCGACTACTAGCACGTTCACCTGCGCGAGTCGGCAGTTCTGAAGGATGCATATCCCTCGGCGCGTCGACTCTGTTCCGTCGCGCGACGAGTCACTCGCGGCGTCCGACACGCTCCTCGCAACCTCGAATTCCCAATCAGCCTCGACGCAAGGTGGGTTTCTGTTTATCGCGTCGTCGCACTCTGAGGGCTGTACTGACGTTGGACCCTCCACGTATTTCGACACTGCAACAGGCCTCCTGGTCGGGCTCGACGCGTTCTGTGCTGTAGTAGGCTGGATGACCCCCATCTGAGTCTTCGCCGAGTCGGCACCGTCCTTCGCCCTGTGCATCGCGCCAGTGCAACCGGCCGCCGCGGAGCGTTGACTGCGTTCCCCAGGATCCGATTCCCCGGTGACCTCTCGGCGGTGCATCGTCTCTGCGCACCGGATCTGCGACGAGTTATTCGTCGCGCTGTCTTCTTGATCTCGTCGTACGCATCCGACAAGTGCGTCAGGCCCCGTGTTCCCGCCTCGACGTACGCCGTAACGCGGTTGTACGTGTAGTGCGTCACAGGTTCGAAGTCGGTCTAGCTGCAGGCTGCGTGGTTCGTCGCCCGCCTTGCCCACCATCTTCAGGCCCGCAGACTTATTGAGTTCACTGGACATCCGTCGAGTGACAGCTGGTACCTTCGCCAGCAATCCTCCAGGTGGCGCGCCGTGGCATTCGGGCTTGTCCACAGGAAATCGCACCACTCGCCCCGCCGCGGCGTACCCGCCACTTCGATAGATCGCGCAATTCGGACCAGCATCTTGCTCAGGGTCGACCAATCGATCTAGGTTTATGGCGCGGTGCCTCTCTTTTGGTGCAGACCCCGGTGGTCCTCTAGTCCCGCCACCGTCAGGCCCCTCGTCGACCACGTCGAAGTTCACATTCGGCTTGTTCTTCACGGGCTCGAGGGCGGAATGTCGCCAAAGACGCCATTTTCCAGCATTGTCCCCAAGTCGCATACCGTCGCAGGTCTGAGACTTCGCTACTGACCGTCGCATAGTGTCACATTCGGTCAGTCTCACGTCGTCGCGTCCCCTCGACCCTTCGCTCGACTGTCGCACGGTGTCACATTCCGTCCGTCTCATGGGCAACCCTTCGCCCAACTGTCGCACGGTGACACATTCGGTCCGTCTCACGGTGTCGCACTTCTGGGACTGCTTCTGGGACGGTTCCGAGACGTTCCATCCCTCACATCTCACACTGTCGCGCTTGTCCCTGTTGGATTTTGCAACTTGCGCGCGTTCGCTCGACTGTCTCACCCTGTCGCATTGCTGCGAGCTTCCGCTGGACGGCGCGCCTCGCGCTTCGTCGCCCGACGCACCTTCGACGGGTTGTTCGACTCGCGACGCTTCAGCTGGGTGTCCCGCATTACCGCTTCTCTGCGACCCGTGGTCCGACTGTACACACGTCGTTACTACGTCGACCCGTGTCTTCAACACCACGCGCGACAGCGTCGAGTGGCCACGCGTCTGCAACTTGCTCACCGACGACGACTCCACCGCTGGCGCACGGGTCAGCCCCGCTGTTGGTGACTTCACAGCTACTACTCGGTACGATGTGGGCTTGCTATCCGCGTGAACTTCTTCCTCTAGCTCTCCTCGACGCGCGTCGAATTCCAGATCTTCGTACGTCGGCCATCCATACATGGGCCAGACGAGCTCGTCGTCACGCCAGGTCTCGTCCTCGTCGCAGGTCACTTCATACGCAATGTTTTGCCAATCTTGGTACTGTCGATTAGTCGCCAGCACGAAGCGGGGCGCAGGCGGAAACACATCGGAGGGTGTCCTGAGGCGCAGCCGCAAAGCTTTAAACCCTGAGAATCACACTCCTTGGTTGGCGTGGGTACCTTGTGTAATCCCTGTCGGCTCGTTTATCTTCGACGGAACGGCACTCCACCGGTTGAAAACGTAGCCTCGAAGAAGTGCGGGAGCGCACCTCCACACCAAAAGGCAAACCCAGAGAATCAGATCCCCTGAAACCCAGAATATCACGAATTCAGGGTCCAGGATTTCAGTCAACTCTGGGACTTGGAACTCAGAAGACACCTTACTCAAATGCCCTCCTAGCTCGATAAAACCAACAAATACAGAGTATACAAACACTACAACTACCCGTCACTTATTCTTTTGGATCCTTGGACGGTGGGTCACTCACAGACTAGGCTCACTCGAGTCTGAAATTCAGGGGCCTAGCTCCCCTGAGATCACACAAACGCACACCACCTCCAATAAAGGAGGAAAATACAATCACTATCAGTTACCTTCCCTTCACACAAGCAGTCAATACAAAATCCTGGAGGCGACTACTTAGCACCCCAGAATACCCTCTGGAATAATATGAAATGAGCTACCACGAGCACAGCAAGTGACCCAGCTAGGATATGGAATAGATGGATCACCCCAGGAAGCTCAAGGCCGTCGCTGGTCACCACCTAACTGGACTTGAGTTGATGGAGTCCACACAGACGGCTGTCCTTCGCCGTTGATGTGCCCTTAGCGTCCCGCGGTCGTAGTCTCAGTTCCTCCGGATTTCCGTCGGCAGGCTTGGCCGAAGTCACTTGCGCAGTACAGGGAAAATTGAACTCTGTTTGGTTTTATCAGCTACTTCTCTCTCTTTCTCTCTCTCTTCTTCGGGCAAATATCTTCTGTTCACTGTGCTTGGGGTCAAAATGTCTTGTCTTGAGTATGCCTTGGGATCAGCGGTCCAATCTTGCGATCGGCTTGCGAATCCATTGTCGCACGGTGTCGAAAGTGCCAATTGTGGGTCCTTAGACTTGGTTTAGTATGGTGCAGGACTCCCTCTCGACTCCTCGAAAGTATCCAGTCTGCGCATCCATAGCGGTTCTTCAAGGTCACGCATCACTTTGATTGCAGACTGACTTCGAACTGACTCGAATCCCTGAGAATCAGGTGACACTCAGGGTCATCTTCTGAAATCCTGGGAATTCTGAGGAATCTTGGGGAACTGTAGGGATTCTTGGGTGTTGGCTTGGGAAACACTTAAGTTCAGTATAGAGAGTCTGGATTTATGGTCCAAACCCAGATAATCATCTTTGGAACTCTGGGTCACCTGCACTCAGGGAGGTGAACTCTGGGTCATCGTGCGGCACTCTGGGTTTCCGTGCGGCACTCTGGGCCTCATGTCAACCGCCCCTCCTGGTCCGGGTCCATCAAAGAGGAAATCGCTCCGACCTGGCGAACCATGGCCAGGCCACAAAAACACACAGGTCCATCCACCGTCGACTTCGACACGGCCGTTGAACTCTGTCGACTCCCAGGGTTTCACTCACTTCGGCGGCACCCTGTCTCCCCAACGGTTGGTCAGGGCCTATCTTCAAGTTTCTACTCTCAAACGCAAAAACTCCAACGGGCAATGCACGGCCACATCGCCATTTCGCAGATCGTCAACATGGCGGAGAGCGCGACTTCGGATGGCAAGCAAGCGACGGCGCCACCTCAAGGCACGGCGCCCCCCGGCAGCGCGCCACCTCTGACACAGCAGCGCACCGGCGACGCCCCTGCGAGCGCCGCACCAACAGGCGGCGGCAGCGGCCAGGCGGGTAACTTAGCGTCCGGCGACACTTCGACGGGCAGCACCAAGACGGGCGTGACCAAGCGCGTCTTCTTCTCCAGTGCCACCGGCAAGACCTCCGACGCGGACATGCGCGAGGCCGATGGCAACGCCTCGACTGACGCTGCAACCCAGGAAACTGGTGACGCGAACTCAGAGTCCAAGGCTCCAGACGCAGGCGGCGTGGCTCCAGACGTGGACATGGAGGGCGTCCCTGAGTTCAAGTTACCACTACACGCGACGCTAGAGGACGTCAGGGGACTCATCTTCGCAGGCATGCTTCGGCAGGAGGAGGTCGATCCCTCTGATTTCCTGGTCCCTGAACGCCCCCCGCACTGGAAACTGCCGGCTCCGCCGAATCTCAAGACCAACGCGTATCTCGTGGGGGTCCCAGGGATCGTGAGCGACATTCGCGCGGGCGCGTTCGCCATGGAAGGCTACGGCGGCGCGACCACGTTGGTCGGCTTCGAGGAGCCCTCCGACGAGGATCTTCAGGGGTTGAAGGAAGTCTGTGGCGCCGACGCTGGGATCGATGTCCTATGTCCACGTCGTTCGCCTCTTTCAGCATTCGAACTGGAACTGGACAATACCCTGAATTCCATCGGTATTCGACGCGAGATGGCCTCACTCCTGCGTCACTTCAACAGCACAAGGCTCGCTGAGCGCGTGTTCAAGATGACCGGTTACCTGCGTCGAGTCCTCGGGGCCTACCGAAACATGCGTTCTCTGGCTGACTCTCAGCAGGGTTTCACCGCCAGGCGACACTCGACGCAAGTACAAGGAACTGAAGCGCGCCTGGAAATTCACGTGCGACTACTGGTTCCTGGAGGTCCAAGAGGCGCTGGGCAAGGTAGATGATGCTGAGTCCAAGTACAAAGTCGCGCTGGGCGAGCAGAAGACGCGGTACCAAGACGAGATTGATTCTCTGGAGTCCGAGAAGACGCAACTCAAGGCGCGCCTTGCCGACTCTGAGGCACAAGTGCGAATCCTGAAATCGCGTCATGAGTAAGCCACCGTGGGCCCCTGGACGTTCTCTGATTTCCTTCAAGAGCACACAGACTTCACGGGTAATTGGGAGCGCCTCCACGACCTCTTCAAGCTCTGCATCAAGGGCTCGAAGCCTCCCGAATCCTGGGACACTGTCATCAACGTCACGGCCATGGACAAGCGCAAGGCTGCGGTGACCCCGTACCCAGAGAAAAGCACACGTATGCCTCCGTCTTCGGTGTCTGGATCGTCCGGTCGTCCTGAAATTCTTGATCTCACGGATCCTGGCAGCAAGCCTCGCAGCGGTTCGAAGACCGGGGGCAAACCTCAGGATTCCAAGAAATCTCAGGGTTCCAAGAAAGGTCAAGACCCCACAAAATCACGGGGCTCTGAGGCGCCAGACACACAGTCGAAGTCCGCGAGCTCCAAGGTTCACAAGGTTCAGCGTCGTCCCAAGAATCATCAACCTGGCCGTGACTCTGTGCGTCGCGCCGGCGAAAAGACTGTGGTGGCCAAGGAGGCCGCACACACGATGCTCCCGGGGGGTGTCGTCTGGAAGGAAATTCGGCCAGACGTATGTCAGACCATTCTTGCTGGGCTCATGTACGACACAGCCATGGAGTGGACTGGCAGCGACCGGGCGGCTCACGGGCACTTCAGGTAGCCGCAGCTGATCAAGATGCTCGTGAGCATGATGTACTGGTGTCGTCTTGACCTGACTCCCTGGAGCAAGTACGTCCCTGAAGCCTACTACGAAATGGCAGACGAGTGTCTGGACAGGGTGCCTTCGACGCGGTGATGTGCCACCACTCTGGGGGAACCTCGATGACCACATGGTGTACCTACTGACGAGGACGCCGATTCCACGGTGGACGACATCGAGAACGACCCGGACTACCAGCCTCCCGCCCAGGAACTTGAGGAGAGCGCCTCTAGTAATAGCTCTGAAGAGGAGGAGGAGGAGGTCGCTCCTGAAACTCTGGAGGACATCGAGGATACAGGGGACGACGACGACGCAGAGGACGGCAATGGGGTAGAAGAACCCCGGAAATCAAGCCTCCTGCTGAGCGCCCCCGGTCTGAGTCAAGCATGAAACCTCAGGGTTCCAACTCGAAGTCGAAGAAGAAACGTCGCACAGGAAACAAGACACACACTTCTGCCACTCAGGGTTCTAGTGGTACTCAGGGGTCCAAGGCTACATCACGCTCCAAGCATCCGTCGACGCTCGCGCGGAAATCGTACTCGGAGCTCACTTCAAGTGAGTTGATGACGGCCGAAGACCCTGAAGACAACGAGACCTCCTGGCGCATCTATGGGGTTCTTGTTCAATATCCAAGTTCGACCAAGAGTGCGTCTTGCCAGACTCCCGGGTTCCCAGAGTACGAGATCCACAAGTATTCGTACGACGTTGCTCACGAGCGCTGGGACCGTGAGGCATACCAAGAAGTCCTGGATTCTGAACCCTGGGACACTATGCTTCAGGGCCGCTTCCGAGTGTTCTACTTCCATGAGCGAGAGCTACTCTCCGCGAAAGCGCTCAAGCTGATGGAGGACGTCGTGGACATCATGCACAAGCACGCACAGGCAATCTGGGAGCGCGGGCACTGGGTGCCTATTCCGACTGAAGAACAAGCAGACGCCACCATGGAATCTCAGCGGAAGTCGCGTCGAAATGCGCTACGCAGATCGTACAAGACGCTCGTCGAGCGCTCGCGCAACACCCCTGGGTTCATCCCGTCGTTGTGGTACGAACCGGGTCTCTGAAAGTTCCCGGACAAGTGCTGCTACTGGTTTTGGGAGGATCCCAGGGCCAAGAAACTCGGGGGAGCTAAGTGCAAGGACTTAGACGTCCAGCTAGCGACGTTGGACATTCGTGAGCCTGCTCGAGTCCAATGGAACACGGCGGCTGACGACGATAAGTGGCTACAATACGTGCCGAACATCATCAAACGCCACATCAAGCCCCTGGCCATCCGTAAGCTCAACCCGCTGTCTCTCAAGCACTCGTGAGAGTCAAGGTCACCTCCAAATCCCGAGGAACCACCTGAATTTCACATGGCGTAGCGTAACTCTCCATAATACCCAGGATTTCGTCTCGATTTCAATGTCTTTCCCAGAAATTCATCATTTTCTGACTTGTTCTCTGGGTCATCCAACTTCGTTTACTGTCTCCATGTCCTTGTAAAGCTCGCCGCCTTCATCTTCCCTCTTACACACTGCCAAAGCCTCAGCAGTATCACCTTCTCCATAATCAAATCAAGTCAAATCACATTCACGTTTTCCGTCTCCAATATTCACACATTCCGTCGATTTTCCCCAGAGTTTCACAGTGTTACCCAGAGTTTCCCCTGAATATCACGTGTAACTCTGGGTCATTGTCACCCCAGAGTGCTAGAATCCTGGGTGATCATCTCCAGCCTGCATGGCCTGGAAACGGGCCCGCGCTCTTGCGCCTTGATTGAATTCGTAGAGCAGGGCACCACAGTTGAGCTTCGACACAGGCAGCCGCTCGGTCTCATCATACCCCTTCCACTTCACAAGGTACTCACGAATTCGTCTCGCTGTCCGAGTCCGTTTAGTCCATCGCAAGTCCAGGATTCGCTCAACTTCGTACTCATCGTTCGCAGCGTCGGGCTCCCAACTGTCTTCTGGCAACAGCGCCGCATCAAAGTCATCATCCTCGTCCACGTCGATCTCCACAGTGGGCTGCTTCGGGAATAGTGCTCTGGGTTTCAAACGGCTCACGTGTACCCAGGGATTCGCGCGATATCCTGTGTTCTCGACCCTGAGTTTCACGCGGAAGTTGTCATGGATTTCCTGAATTCTGAAGGGGCCATGTCACATGTGAGCCAGTTTGTGGCCCAGCCCGGGCTGCACTTTGGGTATATACAGCCACACAGCATCACCGGCTGCGAATCCTGCCTTCAGTCGTTCGGACAGCTCTCTCCACTTCCTGGTTTGTTCGGCAGGGCGCGCGCTTGGCCTTCTTCTGAAGATCCTCAGCGCAAGCTTGTGCATAACTATAGTCACGCTGTAGCTTCCTGCGCCACTCGTACGCAGTGCGCTCCTGGATACTCGAGGGCCTGGGTCCTAACATTGCAGACACCGTGCCGTGTGCGTCCCAGCCGTGCACCAGAAAAAACGGAGTGTCCAGGCGACTGGCATCGAACGATGTATTCAGGGCAAACATCAGGCGCTCAGCATGGTCGTCCCAGTCACTCTGGTCCGCCTCAGCAATGTACGCTCGAATGCTGCGCACGACAGTCTGCACCGACCGCTCCCGTTGTCCGTTCGCCTGGGGCAATACGCTAGAGTGGCTCGCTGCTTGCTACCCAAAAGTTCACGGAAGCGCGTGAACACCTCACTCATGAACCTTGGGTCTTGGTCGTGCCTCAGCATCGAGCTCGCGCCGAATCTCCTCAAGACCAGCTCTTCGTACACTTCAGCGACTTGCGCCGTGGTGGAACTCATGGGTTTACCCATGACGAATCCTGAGAATGCATCCTGAAAAAGCAGCAGCAACGTGTTACCACGGTCCGACTTAGGCAAGTGTGTCGCGAAATCCATAGACACAACTTCAAAAGGGCGCCTCGGTACGATGTTCCCAGGAGAAGGCCCTGGATTCTGAGGGCGCCCCTTGCCGCTGGCGCAATCCACACACTCTTTGACGAAAACTTCCACATCAGCGTACATACCGTGCCAGTAGAATTCAGAGCGCAGCTTCTCGTACGTCCTCGTAATCCCCTGGTGCCCACCCTGAAAATCTTCGTGAGCGTAATGCAGGAAATCCGGTCGCAGAGCTTTCGGCACCACGAGTCTGAGTTCGTCAACCATGTCTCGGGGTCGATCTCTGGTAGACCGACTCAAGCGGTACAGGACTTCTCTGGAATCCAACACCAAATCATCAGCGACCTTCGCGAGTTTCCTGGCTTGAGCGTGCGACTGCTTCGTCGTGTCTCCTTTCAGGAAAACCTTGAGTTGCAGCAGGTGCTCATCTTTGTCCTGGTGCACTTTGATACGTCGCCAGCGTTCTGCCTGGTACTCCAGAGGTCCCATGGGTTCGCTTTGGGCTTCGATCTCCTGAGTTCGCGCCCGAGTCATTACTGCAAACACTTTGGCCGCCACAGGCAACGGAGCCCACTCAGGTCCAGGGGTACCCAGAGTTTCGACACCCTGAGAATCACTCCCCTGAATTCCAACGTTCAATAACACCTTCGGTCTTACCAACTTCTCATGAATCTTGGACACCAACTGCAGATGTGTTCGTTCATCAGCATCCTCCACCTTCCAGGATTCACCAAGCGCGAGGGTCTTAGACGTCAGGTAGTCTGCGGCGTGGTTAAACTCTCGCTTGACATGCACCAGCCGCACAGACTTGAACTTCGTCTTCAGCACTTCATAGTCGGCCATCTTCCTCTGGAGATTTGGCTGATTGCAGTTGATGAGACCCTGGGCTTGCTGGATGGTAATCCTGGAGTCCCCAACTACAACGATGTTCTGAATTCCACGCTCAATCGCCAGAGTGAGGCCCTTCAGAAGTCCATGATACTCAGCGTCGTTCACAGTCACGTCCTCCAGGGTGAATCCCTGGGCATCCAGGATTTCCTAACCGGGGACGTGCCACAGAATGCAACCACAGCTCCCTTGTCGCGTGGAAGTCTTAGCGGCGCCATCAAAACTCAGAATACACCCCTCATAATCCGCTTCCAGCATTTCCATGCTGATAGGCACTGGAGGTTTAACGCGCCCCTTAGCTGGGATCAGGTTTTCAGCGATCTCATCCAAGTGTTCTCTGGGGGTAATACCCGCACCCAGAATTGCAGCCAAGCCGTCTTCATCCCGTTGAACTCTGCGTATCTCCAGGTTCCAGTGGGACAATTTCAGACCCCACTTCACCGTTCGACCGTCTGCCGACTGCGAGGTCAGCAACCACTTCAACACAGAATATCGCGTGTAGACGACGATCTTAGGCTGCCTTCAACCAAAGTGCGAAACACCTCCAGGACTCTCAGGATAGCAATCACCTCCTTTTCCGCAATGTGATACCGCAGCTCAGCGTCATTCAAGACGCGACCTGTGAATCGAACCGGGTGCACAATCCCGTCGTACTCCTGGCCCAACACAGCGGATGCTGCCCACGGGTTCGCGTGGGGAATAATCACGAAGGGCCTTGAACGATCTGGATGTTTGAGCAACAGAGTCGAAACGATCTTGCGCTTCAGGATTTCAAAGGCGTCCTGAGCTCTCGACAGGTCTCTCCTGGATTTCACTTGTTCCTCAGTCAGCTCGTACAGGACGGCCGCGATCACGGGTACATCTTCAATGAACTTGTTGTAGTAATTCAGACTCCCCATGAAACTCTGGAAGCCTTTCAGTGTCGTCGGGAACGGCAAGTCTTGGACCCCCTTCGCGATTTTAGGGGTCGCTCGGATGCCCTCAGCACTAATCTCGTGAGAGAGGTACGGAATGGACAACTTCCCGAATTCGCTCTTGGGAAGACTCACAGAGATATTCCAGTAACGTAGTCGGAAGAGCAGCGCGTTCAGATCCTGGCACAGCTGCTCCCAAGTAGGCGCACCGTGGGCGATGTCGTCGACATACGAGGTTCGACCCAGGACAGGGCCCATCTGAGAGGGAGCCGGGATGTTACGCTGAAAAACAGTCATCTCATCCGTCAACACTGAAAGTCGCGGTGCATTGTCACCTGAAACTCTGGGTTCCCCAGAGTTCAACCCCAAAAAGTCCAAGACATCTTGGTCGACCTCGGCTTCTTCCTCAGGGGAAAGCCGCAGAAATCCACACAGACAGTTATTGAGAACTGCCTGGTAGATCAGCGGGGCGTTCTTGAGGCCAAACGGCATCCTGACCCACTGGTAATGCCCATAGGGACAGACGAACGCAGAGATCAACTTGGCTCTCTCGGTCATCTTGATAGCCCAGAAACCACTCGCCATGTCCAAGCTCATAAACCACATCGCTGACTCAAAGCCAATCAAAAGATCATCAATAAGCGGTAGCGGGTAATGCGAGAGCTTGATGAAGCCATTCACCACGCAGTAGTCGATGCACATCCGGATGTCAACGCCATTCTTCTTGAGGTCGATCACGATCGGAGATGCCCAGGGGGACGTAGAAGTCTCGATCAGCCCGTTCTCCAGAAGCTTCTTCAGAAGTTCATACACCTTAGTCCACAGGTGTGGTGCAATGGACCTTGGACGCTGGGCAACAGGTTTAGCGTCGCCTACATCCAGGTCACAAACGACTCCACGGGTAGGTGGCGCGCTTCATTGCCGTCTCTCAAGAAAATCTTCCGAGGATATTCCAGAATTCGCCTCACTTGGTCTTCCATCTCGGGCGTCGTTTTCCCAGGGACTCCAACATCTGCCTCCTCGATCTTGCACTCAGGGGTCAAGTCACGCATCTCAGGAAGCATAACCAACTGGTCACGCAACTGAGAGAGCAACTCACTTCCTTCACGTATGTAGACCGCAGGCTCGTAGTCGAGGTCCTCTGTCGAAAGCCGCATGCGGCGCTCATATTCCTGCTTAAGCTTCTCCAACGGAGTTCCCGGCATCCCTGAGATCGGGATATCCCAGTAATCTTCAACAGCACCCTGAGAATCGTCGTCATCTTCATCGAATCCTAGAGAATCACCTTCGTCGCACCACTGACCCTGAGTATCACTGCCAACTTCAACCTGTAACCTCAGGGTTTTAGCGGCCGTATCACCTTCAGGACTCATGCCCTCTGGGGTTCCGACAGTCTGCGAGGCAACATCGGTCACCGCCTCCTTCAGAACGTCACCCAAGTCACTCGTATCAACAGCAACGTCTCGGAGTTCAGGAGGGTCTTCAGTCTGAGTTGCAGCGTCTTCAGCGAAACGCACGCGACGAGGCTTCGGTTTCCTGAGAATCGAGGCAAGAAGTGCCATGTCGGGACCCTTTGCAGGTCGCGGCAGAATCTTCATAGGCCACTGATACTCTGGGGTCTCGACACAGGATGGCTCAAGC